AAACATTTAGTACAAACAGAACCAATTAACAATGTATGCTGTTTCTTGTCCATTACTCTCAGCAGTTTCTCCATGTGCATCTGTAATTTAAAGAGCAGGGATTTTAAAGTATGTGGCAAAAAAATCTTTAAGGATTTTAAAGTATGTGGCAAAATGAAGAAATCAGCATTTTATAGGATTATTGGAAATATTCAGAATCTCAGTCAGGTATAAAAGTCACTATCTTACTAAAACTCTCCTGGGGACTTTTTTTCCCCATATATAGTTTTTTTATTGAGCCCAACAGCATTGACACATAATTGGCAAAAACCATATTGCATGTTAATACAGAGTGAGTACAATAGTAATCAGTGCAGTAGTGATACTTTACACCAATCGAGTCATGTTATTGCACATTATAATAGCATTCTTTGTAACGCATTCACAATGCTTAAATAGTCAGTACATCCATGTCACTGCTGTCGGGTTTTTTGTTTAACAGGGATACAGAAAAGAAAAAGGAGTACAAGGTAGGGTAGCTAACATACGATCAGTTAAACCAGCATCATATTAACCGGTATAAGGAAAAAGGTTTGCTCCAGTTAGATGTTCAGTTGGTCATGTAATCTTTCCCCCGCTATACACAGAAGGTAGAGTTCCCCAGGATCTTGTCAGCCAACTATGCCATATCAGAGCATGTTTGGTAGTGTTACCCCTAATTCGTAAGGCCATCTGTTTGTATGAGCATATGTCGTCTATGCGGCTGGTGATCTATGCCATAGAAGGCACCACTTTGCTTTTCCAGTGGAACGCCAGCCTTACCTTCTCTACCGTCAACAAATTAGGGATGACTGAGTGGTGGGGCTGGTTTCCAGATCTGGTGTAATGTGGAGTATGTAGTGCTCAGGCTGTAGAGGGATAGTAATGGCCGTTATGCTATGGATAGTCATCCGGATTTTTCCAGAGTTGTGCTAAAACTGTGCATTCCTAAAACATATGGTATATTGTCCCTTCAGCAGCCACACACCTCCAGCATAGTGGGGAGGTGGTACTGTAGATATGTGACAACCTGTGAGGCACCAAATACGATCTCATGGTTACTTGGCAGTAAGCCTCCCCTAGAGAGAGACTGCTAGAAGATTTTTTTGGTTTGCACCAGAGCAACCTGCTACTGGAACAATGTGAACCTATGTCTCGCTCCCATTGTATCATGTATGGCAGTTTGTCCAGGGTCCTTTCAAATAATAGCGCATTATTGCAGAGTGAGAGAGACTTAAGTGTGAGTGGGTGTAGCAGGGTTGGCATGTTTGCCTTACACATTTGCAAAATATTTTTAACTCTCAGATAGCGGAATAGATCCCTGGATGGTAGGGAGAATTCAGCCTGTACGTTGTGGATAGTTTTTAACTTACCAGTAGTAAAGAGACTGTTTACAGTGCTGATGCATCTGTTGGCCCAAGATTCCAAGGTGAGATCTGGAGAGAGCGCTGTCAAAGCAGCCACACCTGAGCAGAGAGTAGGGGTCTAGATCCACCAAGCATGTAGTAGAGTTTTAGAACATGCTAATGAGGGTCTACCAGTTAAAGGTAATGGCGTCCTCGTCCATATCATGTATATCAGCTTTCTCAAGTGACAACCAAAGTTGCCCCACGGACTCATTGGGTTTAATGAGAAGATGCACACACTGCGCCAGTAGGAATGCCCTGTAGTAGGCTTTGACATCTGGCACACCCAAGCCACCCATGGGGTAGGAAAGACTTAGTGTACGACTCGCTATTCGTGGGGGTTTCCTCCTCCAAATATGTGCATTTATCACAGAGTGAAGTTGTTTTATTATTTTGTTCAGTAGTGTAATGGTTATTGTGCAAAACAAGTATAGAATGTGTGGAAGTATCATTTTTATTGATCTAATGTGGCCCAGCAATGACGTCTCAATGTCATCCCATTGTGTCATTTGAGATCTAATCTTATGTATCACAGGAACATGTTTTCATCTGGGAGTTCCTGCAGGGATTTGGTCAATTTAATCCCTAAGTATGACAGGGATTTCCAGCGCCAGTCAAAGAGTTACTTTTTTGTCAAGTATGTCTGCTGTTGCTCGTGGTAGGTTAATCGGATGTGCTTAAGTTTTTGAGGAGTTATTTTTATAGTAAGAAACTTTACCGTAAGATTCCAGGAGGCTGAGTAATTCGGGAATGGAATTCGTCGGGTTTATTATAAACAGGAGGATGTTGCGAAAAGGGCCAGTTTTTGACAACCATCTGGTATGGACAGGCCAGCAATATTCGGGATTTGTTGTATGTGTCGAATTAAATGCTTTAATCACAGTATAAATATTAATGGTGAGAGAGGGCATCTCTGGCATGTTTCCATTGCATATCTGAAAAGGTGAGGAGAGGAAATCAGTGTTAAATACTCTAGCTGACGGTTGTTGGTACAGGGCCTGAATGCTCGTCAGGAACTGTTGTGGGAATCCCATTTTAGAAAGTGTTTGGTTCGTGTAGTTCCAATTTAAGCAGTCAAATGTTTTTCATCGTGTACGCCATTATTATCCCTGTTTGAGAAGTTTTCTTGGCCCAGTCGACAATATTAATGAAGTGCCTAGTATTGTCGCTCACCTGTCTCCCAGGGACAAACCCGGCATTTTCGTCTGAGATCAATGTGGGAGATAGAGTTTTGATGCCATTGGCTAGGAGTTTGGCATCAGCATTAAGCGAGGAGGATACAAATGCAAACTGTCAGGGGTTTACTAGGTTTGGGCAGAGTCACAACAAACGCTTCCAACATTTCACAAGGCATCTGGCCCGTGGATTTGATATGGTTGAAGAGTTTTGTGAGATGCGGTGTTAGTACGGTTTCCAGTTTGATGTAATAGTAATTGGAGAACCCATCCAGGCCTGGCGCTTTATGTTTGGGTAGGGACCTAAATGCGTGTCTGACTTCCTCTTCTGTGAACAGAGCCTTGAAATAAGCTTTCTGCTCCGGGGAGATACATGGAAGCTGTGTCTGAGTTAGAAAGCACTGAATATCTTCCATGAAGGGTTGATGCATGATAGAATCCCTGTCAAGTTGGTAGAGATTTGCATCATATGTTGCTAGATCTTCAACTATATCTTGTGGGTTGTATAACTTGTCCCCCTAAGTCGAGAAGATGTACGGAATCTTAGTCTGGAGATATTTCTCTTTTAGTTTCCTGGCTAGTAGCCTGCATGCTTTATTGCTAGAAACATAGTAAGACTGCTTCAGATACCTAATGTGTTTCTCAGTAGTGTGCAGAGCCAAGGAGTGTAAGTCAGCCTTTTACTTCTCTAATTGTATGTGAGTGTGCCTGGTTGGGTTAGATTTGTGTCTGGAGGTGAAATTTGATGGAGGAGCCATGACTGGGTCTTGCTTTGCCACTTTTTCCTTAAGGATCCTATCTGTATCAACACACCATGCATGACTGCTTTATGTGCCATCCATTGCGTTGGCGGGGGAGTGGGGCAATTAGCGTGTGTCTCATGGTAATTGGTTAATTGAGCTTTAAGATGAGTGAGATTGTCTGGATAGTCTAGCAATGACTTATTTATTTGCCATGTGCCTCTCCCTCTGGCTGGGTACGGTATTTGTAGGGTCACAGTTAATGGCGCATAGTCTGGCCATGTGATCAGTCCAATGGATACATCGGACAGGTTTATGAGAGTTCTTTTGTCTACCAGGCATAAGTTAATTCCTGAGTAAAAGGTAAAATCTCTCGCCATGGTGTATAGGCTTCTCCATGTGTCATAGAGGTCATGTACATGCAGCAAGTTTGCAAAGAGTGTGCTAAGTGATATGGCTGACTGTTTCGGCAGTTTGAATTTCGTTCTTTGAATGTCCAGTTTTGGGTCTAAGATACAATTAAATTCATCACAAAGTATAGTATGACCTTTTTTGATTTTGTCAAGTTTTTAAAAACTTGCGCCCAGATACGACTTTTGTGTGTCATTAGGGGGTACAGGGATGCTAATGTGACCTGTAGACCATTTAAGGCACCCACAAAAATAATGAGTCTACCTTCCTTGCCTAGTCAAATTGGGCATCTGGTGAAAACACCCAGTCTTTGTGGAAATATATGTAGACCCTTTTAGATTTAGTTCGGGATAGGGCATGGAAGGCTTGGGCATAGTGTTTGATATGGATTTGCTGGGGGGTGCGGTTGCAGAAGTGAGTTTCTTGTAGGCATATTATAGCTGTCCTAGATTGCTGGATCTCTTGTGATGCGAGTCTCCTTTTGTGTGGGCTATTAAGGCCTATGACATTAAGTGAGAAGATCTTTAAAGAGTTAGCCATGATAATAGATACTGGTGTATATTATCGAAGCGCACTAAGGCGTACCAATAGTGTACTCCAGTTTGCTCAGGAGGGGGTATAATGACTTCTACTCATGGAGATGTTTTACTGGGGGGCATAACCCTGCACTTCGTTATCCTGTTTTGAGGTGGGTATAGCGGTAATAGAGAGAGCCACCCAGGAGCAGTTGGGGAGCCAAACCAAGAGGTGAATATTGGGGAAAAAAAACATAGTAAGAAAACCAAAGTATGTACATTTTGCCCAAGCTCGCAGTTCACTCAATTGAGGGTGGGGGTACCAAAACTGTCAGACCAAGAGCTTTCGAATCTTTGAAGTCATTTTGAAACTGGTAGCTTTCTAAAGCCAAAACTTGGATGGGTGTTAATATCAGCCAAGCCCTGGCGCTAGCTAACTGATTTTTTTTGTTTGTTTTAATATTTTGAAGTTTGTTATGTTGTTTAACTATTAACAGGGATCCATGGAAGCCCGGAGTTTGTGGCCGTGCCCCGACCTCTAGGAGGCATATCATTTCCCTTTTCAGCTCCCCAAACCTTTGGGAGAAATCTGAGATCTCTGACTTCCAAATCTGCCCAGTCCTTACTTTGCTGATATGGTATCTCTTGGGCATGAATTGGCAGGTGGTTGGGACCTGTTTGTTACTGCTAGGAATTTCAGTGCCCCGTTGTTACTTGTGGGGGGTTTGTGATAAACTCCAAGTGAGTTTGCCACGAGCACCTGGAGGAGCCTGCTTGCTAGCCTCCTGCCCACAAACTATGGGCCCTGCAGGGAAACCTGTAAAAGACTACCAAACTTGACCGACCGTTAGCACTGATTTCATGGAACTGTTTTGGGCATAGGACCATGTGCACGGTCAGTCAAAATTATGACTTCCAGGAAATTCCTGAACCCCTGAACTGATCTGGGTGATTTTTGGATATGTTGGTCACCCAGATCAGGGCTATCAGGGGATGTAACATGGAGATATCATGTGTTTTGGGGTACCTTTGGGACTTTTTAGAAATGTATGTTTTTTTTCTGTGCTTGGAGCTAATTGAATTAGAATTAGTACAGTTACTGATCCAATTATCTCCCAAGCAGAGGGGAGGGATTGTGTCTCATGTGTGGGAGTGCCTTACATTGTAAATGTGTTATTATTCGTTTGTAAGTTTGTGCCCCTGTCCCCAACAAGGTCCATGTGGGCATACACCTTGCTTGGGGATTGTGTTAAAAGGCCAGCGTGGCACCATTAAAATCTATTCCAGCTTACACTCCAAAACTGTGTGTTGTCCTGTTATTGGAGGGAAAGAAGATTTACTGCTGTGTCTGCTGTTCCAGCTTGCAAGGGATTCAACTGGGAAAGTCTTTGTAAGAACTAGAGCTAATTCCTCATTTGGCTCCAGGAAGAGCGGTTCCAGGGTCCGAGTCAAGATATGGCCACTGAGGGCAAAAGTGAGATTTGTCCCCTGTTCTAGCTTGGAGGCGGTTGCTACAGGGTTACTCCAGGGTAGCCTCCTGTAGGCTCCTACACTCCATGCATACTCCTAGATACTTGCCTCTCATCGTACCTTGAAAGGCCATGTTTGGTGACAGAGGGTCTTATGGGCGCTATTTGGTCCTCGCTACTTAGTACACCAGGTGCAATGCGAGCCAATCAGAACGGGAGATGGTCAATAACCGGGACTGGTAATACAGTGCCTCTTGGACCTTATGCATAATACAACATCAGAGAGCAAAATATAAACATAAATTGGAAGACAACTTTTAAACTAAAATCAGTTAAAGGATACAATTTTTCCCTCTGGATTGCGTGTTTGCAATGCAATAGAGTCTATGTTCCTGTGATAAAGTATTTGCTTGTAGATGTCGAGCCTGCCATTTGCCATTCTCCAGGAACTCTCCATGGTGACTTCGAGGTCTGTGGCGCTGGTTCTGTTGAGAGGCACAGTCCCCATTCTCTAAGCAGCTTCAGGCCATCCTCCGGTTCATTCACCACTTGGTTTCTACCATTCCACCAAATTAGTGATTTCTGAGATTTTTTTGTGACAGTGACAAATTCTATCCATCTCCCCATTGTGAGGGCTGAGAGGTCTGCAAACAGTTGGATATTTTGTTAGGGTTCTGGCAGTTTCTGTAGCTTTCTCGCCGCTACCAACAGAGCATCCATGACCTTGAAGTAGTGGAATTTCACCACTGCGTCTCTCGGGGTGTCAGCTGTGAAACATCTCTCGGGATGTCAGCTGTGGTGCTGAGGTAGGCGATGGGCCCTGTCCATTAGCCAGCCACCTTCTTTGATGTCAGGTAATAGGGCTTTACAGAGGCCTAAAATGTAAGTTGCCTTGCGGCACACTGTCCGGTATCCTGCGGAAGTGGACATTATTGCTTCGTGAGCGGTCCTCCAGGTATGCTAGCTTCCTCTTAAACTGTTGGTGTTCTTCAGCTAAGGTTTGGATTTTATCCACAACCTAATTGTGTGCAGTACACAGCTCTTCAGTGGGTGCTTCAAAGTGAGTTGTTCTGTCTCCCAGATCTGATATTTCCTTCTTCGACTCACTTGTCATTTGTTTCAAGCTTTGTTGGATTGTGGCTTGCAGTTCTTTGAGCATGATATGCAGCCTTTTTTTTGTGACCGGGGTATCATAATATTGGTCAGAGTGAGTGTCACTGTCTGGCGGGCCTTCCAAGGCAGGAGACGGCGCCATAGACTCTTCACCATTTTGAGCAGGCCGCAGCCGCTCCTTCATTTTCATCTGTTTTGACGGTGCCATCATGTTGGGCTGTCGGTGTGGTGCCGTTAGTGGACTTGATTGCCGGTCAATATCGGCTTTTTCGTCATGCTAAAAACAGCATTGATTAACTACCAAGCCAAGCCTTGCAGAAGCTTCTAAGCAGAGGTATCCGCTCTGGAAGATCTATTCAAGAATTCCTGTACTTCATATTGTTTCCTTTTTTTTCTAGAATAGAAAAAGAAAAATTGTGTTCTATTCCACCTCCCACCCTTTTATTTTATGTTCATTCTTTATCACTTTTTGTTAATTGTTTGTTTAGCTAGTGTTACTTCTTTCACTGATAATCTTGTAAATTTAAGTTCACTGTTTATGACTTTCACCTATCTGATCCTTCACATCTTTTTATCTCAAATGTTATCTCTCTGGTTTTTCATCTCTAATTACCTCAATATCTCCACCCATAATGGTGTGTTTATATCTTTTTTTTTTCTAACCCCAGACTTTATATTTCAGACTGGGCCCCTAAAAATAGCATTGATTAACTACACCTAATACTCACAAGCAACCAAGCCCTACAGAATCTTCTAAGCAGAGGTATCATCTCTGGAAGGCTGCCAACCTCACCCCACCCCATGGTCATTACCATGCTTATAGATAGTGCATATCAGCTGGTTTTCAAAACACACCAATCAAGTCACTAAACCTCTCCTCACCATGCTTAACCATGGTTTCACTCATAGGTATATGTGTATATATGAATATATATATAAACTTCACTCATTACTTAAATATCCCTATCTGTCTGCTCACCTGTCCCTGGCAACACCATCTTGATTACTTCCACTTTACTCCCCTCTCCTCTCTATTCATCCCATGCACTCTACATTCACCTTTCCAGCTTATCTCCTCTAACTCCTCCCAAATCCTCTATATACCCTCTATATACCCTTCTACAAAACTTCCAAATCATACTCCCACCTTCACTTCCTTTATATCCTTCTGTTCCTAGCAGTTGGCAATGTCTCTCCAAACCCCCGGTCCCATCTCGGCAAACTCACCACGTACTAACTCAAGGAACCATGCCAATCTCATACCTATCTCATACACATCTCATGTTACTCTTCCTCTAAATCCTCCTTCAATACTGCCCTCTGGAATGCATGCTCTGTTTGCAATATTACAAAATCCACTGCTGTCCACGACCTCTTCATCTCTCGTTCCCTAGATTTACTAGCCTTAACAGAAACATGGTTCTCCCTCTCTGCTACCACTGCATCTTTGTCCTTTGGTGATCTTCAGCTTACGCACAACCCAAGACATTCAGAATGTAAAGGTGGTGGTGTAGGGTTTCACCTCTTACCTCCCTGCTCATTCAAACCTCTACCCACATTCCCTTCCCTCTCTTTCTCATCATGTGAAATTCATTAGATTCAGTTTTTCAAACCCATCTCTGCTAACATTGCCATTATTTATCGCCCCCCTGGATACCCTCTCCTCTTCCTTGACCACTTTGCTGCCTGCCTACCCTATTTCCTCTCTTCTAATATTTCATCCCTAATTCTTGGGGAATTCAATATACCCATTGACCCACCTTTGACCTCAGCAGCCTTTAAACTACTTTCAATTACTTCCTCCCTCGGGCAATCACAGTTTGCTAATTCTCCCACCCATGTAGCTGGCAAAACCCTCGACCTCATCTTCTCTTATGCATGTACAGTATCTAATATCCACAACACTCCATTCCCTCTCTCTGATCACCACCTTATCGTTTGCTCTTGAGTACCCCCTCACCCAACAACCTCAGCCTAACCCCCCTCAACTTAGGAAGAACCTTAATTCTGTTGACCTCAAGCAGCTGTCAACTGATATTGATTCACAACTGCTATCCATACCTTCCCTCTCCTGTCCCTCACTGGCCATTTCCACATATAACACTACCCTCACCTCTACCTTGAACACTACAGCCTGCTCCAAACATGCACCTCAAGGAGGGCACGCCCCCAACTGCAGCATACTAAATCAACACGCTACCTGCAAAGATGCTCCCGTTGTGCTGAACACTTCTGGAGGAAGTCTCGCACCCAGTCAGACTTTCTCCATTGTAGATTCATACTGTGTTCATACAGCGCGGCCCTTGCCCTCCCCAAACAGTCATACTTTTCTTTTCTCATTAGTTCATGCTCCCACAATCCCAGGTGTCTCTTCTTCACCCTGCTGTAGCCACCCCCCAAACTAACCTTACAGCCAATAACTTTGCATGGTACATTACCGACACGATTGAGGAACTTGATTCTGGGCTTACCTTTGAGCCTCACATCCAGTATGTTGCCAAATCCTGTAGATTCCACCTTAAAAACATAGCCGAATTTGCCCCTTTCTTATGCAAGATGCTACCAAGGAGGTTGAATGGATTAATGTAACCCTCTCCTAATTGGTCTTCCCAAAAGCTGTATTGCCCTGTTACAGTCTGTAATGAATGCTGCCGTCAGACTGATTTTCCTCTCTCGTTGGACCTCTCACACTTCACCCCTCGGTCAGTCCTTACATTGGCTTCCTGTATCCTATAGGAGTCAATTCAAAGTGTTAACTGTTACCTATAAAGCACTGAACAATTCTAGCCCCTCTTATATCGCTTCACAGATCCATAAGTATACCCCTTCTTGGTCTCTCCGCTCTGCCTGTGACCTTCTCCTGTCCGCTGCTTGCACCCGTACGGCCAATCCACACTTGCAGGACTTCTTGTGGGTGGCTCCCTTCCTATGGAATAGCCTGCCTACTGTCATCAGACTCTCCCCTAGTCTTCAATCATTTAAGAAGTACATTAAAACCCTTCTCTTTAGGAAAGCTTATGGCCTCCCAGAGAAACCTCTACCTTACATACCTGTTTCTTGCTCTCTCCTAAAGGACAGCACTGTAATCTCTCCTCCAGCTCTGCTTCACTCCCACCTTATTTAATTGCTATTTCCTGTCCTAATGTGTTTTATACCCCACTTCCTATAGACTGTAAGCTCATCTGTGCAGGGTCCTCTTCAATCTATCGTTCCTGCAAGTTTTTTGCAATTGTCCTATTTATGGTTAAATCCCCCTGTCTCATAATATTGTAAAGCGCTACAGAATCTGTTGGCACTATATAAATGGCAATAATAATAATAGTAATGGTTGAGTCTGACTGGAACAGGAGCTCCTACTCCATGAGT